GCTCTAATTGAGGCAAAAGTCTCTTTACTGCCGCCGCCGCCGTCGCGGTAATATCAGTCATTAATGTCGCGCGCGCGCGCGCTTGTCCTGTGATCGCGCTTCGCTGACTTTTCCCGTAAAGAGCCGCCCCGGCTCCTTCGTACACACAGCCCGTACAACGGAAGGCAATTAGTGGCTTAGAAACGTTAACAGTGTTGTCGCGATTGCGTGCACATATGAACATATTTACGAGTGCATTTGCAAGAAGCACATTCTCCCTCCCTCCCAATCTCTCTCTCTCTCTCAACTTTCAATCGTGTGCCATTAAAATAATCGACGGAGAGTTTTCAAGTTCGAAATTCGTTTCGTTTATTTTGTTTCTTTTACTTGGAAGAAAAAAAGAAACAATTATTCATACATGTCCGTTATCGCTGATATTTTCTTTTCTTTGAGAGAAAATACAAGACCGATAAGATGAACGCGTAGTTTCTTCTTTTATGACAAACTGTCTTTAATTTATCGCGTCTCAAACAACATTTCTCGAAGGTTGCCGTGATTAGTCACGTCGACCCACTGAGCGAAATCGGGCACGGGCTTCTCTCTTCATCGTCGTCGTCGACGACAACGACAAGCGTGGTATCCAAGTTTTGACCAGACAATTTCGAAAGGACGTTACACACTTGGCGACGGATTCTATTCGCGCTACTAGGTCACCGAGAAAACTCGTTACACACTCGCGGTGGAAATAGAGCGCACTTCTCGCATGTGTGTGTGTGTACGCGTATTACGAACACATTTGTACGCGCCGACCGTCCTCTCGAATGCATCACTATGGAAGGATCACGAATAAGGCGAGAGCTCCCGCGTGCGCGTGTAGGTCTTTCCTATGCTCCTCTTGTACAACAAATGTAAAAACCCCATAATAGATGCCCAGCGAGAGCTCTGACCGCAGTGTCTCTCAACTTTCCCGCGAAAAAGGAAAACGCGACCAATTTCAACAATCGCGACGAGAAATAAATTTAATTCGAAAATCGAAACCTCCAGAGAGATTATTACAAGATGCTGCTTTGCGTTAATTTTTTTTTTTTAACAAATAAATTAACGAGAGAAATAATTAATTAACAGAAAGATAGTTGAACTGTGTGTTGACAGATATTTGGATGTTATTATGCACTCGCTCGGAGAACTATCACGGAAAAAAAATCTTGCTAGAATAGCAAGAAGATTAGTTACTGCGGCCAGTAAGAAGCTGAGTCTATTGAATTTTTTTGTTTTGCCAACAAAACGTTTCGTTTGACGAAACCGAAACCTTCAGTAACTCATCAAGTTTTTTTTTTCTGGCCGTACAATACCATTACTTTTTTTTCCGCAGTACCGACGATAAAATTTGTGTGTGAGTTGCGGTTTGTTTCGAGCTTCATTCGAAAAATTCTCGTCCAATGATTATCGACAGAAAATATTTGAAAGATTGTAGGTCTCTAAAATCGTCTACGATGAAGAGAACGCATTATCTCGAACGATGAAAACGGTAGGTCAGAATTCCTCTCTCTTGCAACAAAAGATCACAACAAACTCACAAAAGCTGTCCACGCTTAGTGCATAGACTCTTTCAACACATTAGAGTTCATTGAACTTAATCTTTCTCGAATCTTTTTATCGTCGCTATTTTTCAGTTTTACTTTTATTGAAGTATTATTTGCAAAAGATTGTCGCACGCACAAAAAAAAAAAAAAAAAAAAAAAAAAAAAAAAAAAAAAAAAAAACAAGGAGTCGGACATTCGTATGTCAAGAGAATTCTCGATGAAACTTGAAAATTAGAAATACACAATCTCACAACAAACATCCGTCCCAAACGGCGCATCGTGTATATACGTATATTACTTTCCAGTACATNCTCACAAAAGCTGTCCACGCTTAGTGCATAGACTCTTTCAACACATTAGAGTTCATTGAACTTAATCTTTCTCGAATCTTTTTATCGTCGCTATTGTTCGGAATAGCACACGTTTGAACTCCAGTTACGCCAAATTGTCGTATGCCGTAAAAAAAAAAAAAAAAAAAAAAAAACAACAACAAAAGAAGACTCGAGGAGTCGAACATTCGTCTGTCAACAGAATTCGCGATGAAACTTGAAAATTAGAAATACACAATCTCACAACAAACATCCGTCCCAAACGGCGCATCGTGTATATACGTATATTACTTTCCAGTACATAAAATAAAACGAACGAATCCAGCTTTCTCCTGACTTTCCAAAGTCAAACGTGTCCTTACGGCACCAATGTGTTCCTCGGCAATAATAATTCGCGGCTATATACAACAGATATTGTCGCCGTCAACGAAAAATTAATTTATAAGACGATTTTTGCAAAAACTCCCAAACTTCTCAGCGAACAATTTGTAAAAATTGATTCGACATTCTTACGCGCGCTTTCAATCGATCAGAAACAATCGTCGGTTAATTTTTATCAAATAACGACAATCGCATATAAATCGCGAGAGATCTTCATTTGTTTTGCAAATAAGTAATTGTTCCTTTTTTACTGAACTGGTCACACTAGTTCAGAGTTTTATCTTTTTTCTTTCCGTTTAGAGTAAAAAAAAAAAGATAAACTCTGGACTAGTGCAACTAGTTTAGTGGAAAAGAACAAACCACTTGAATTTTTCAGATACGTGAAAAGAAGTGTGTTCTGAGTATTACGTAAAGAAAATTGTTAGAGAAAGAATTCCAAAACGCGCTGGTTTTAATGCGGAGAAAAGTGCGTTCGCGCAATTAATAAAAGAACAAAAAGAAGAAAAAAAAAAGACCGCCGAACTCTGAATTATTTCGCAAATCGTGCGTTTAAACGGGGATCTTATTCTCGGAGAACAAGTCTCGGAGCTCTCCAGTGAGCGGTGTATCGAGTGGGTAGGCATGAGGGATGAGGAAGGGGAGAGAGAGAGAGAGAAAGAGAAGAGGGCGAGGCGTATAAAGAGAGTGTCCAACGAGAAGTTGTTCCACGGCAACGCGGAGGAGGTTTAGCGAGTGTTTTCTGCGTACATTCGAGAATTCGTCAAAAATCACGACTCATTGATGATCAATGGACAGCCTCCTATCGCTTCACGCGAAGCAACGACACAAAGTCAACAAGCGATCACGTGATACGCGGAACTTTGCAAATTAAATATTTACAACCTTGTTTTTTTTTTCTCTTTGCCTACTCGCGCGCGCGCACGCGCGCACGTCCGTAACATATTTTTTTTGTCGCTGAAATGCCATCAGTCACATGAGTTTGAGATTTCTTCTGAGAGAATTCGGAATGGAAATGTGTAAACATAAATTAGAAAATTTATTACCGTGGAGGTATTTATAAAAAAAAGAAAATATTCATCATACAAAAAAACAAATAAATTACCGAGTGTTCAGTTTTTTTATTATAATAAATAAATCGCGCCTGGGTGAATATCTTGAGTTCTCTACGGTCAGTACCTGTTGTATCTTTAATTTAGTTTGTTAACTCAGATGTATTTTTAATTTTATTTTAAAAATATATAACAAAAAACAAAATGAAGAAAACATCGAACAATATGCGCTTCGTCGTACGTTTCGTATCAACTGAGAACTGATCGCGGTAGTAATCGCGTGTTATACTTGAATTTTCGCGGAATCGCTCGTATTCATCGATTAATGGGAAGGTTGAATGTCTCATGCGTAAACGTAAGAATTCCATTTAAGTATCTGACGCGTGTAAACGCGTGAATAATATACTTTTGTGTGTGAATACGTGAATTATTCGAATTATTGCACGCGTCGTGGCCGAAGATTTACACACACTCGTGTGTGTCGCTCATCGACGATGCGGGAGAGCATTCTTTTCTCTATTTTGTGTGTTACATCTCTTTCTTTCTCTCTTTCTCTCTCTCTCTCTCGCGCGCGCGCGAGCAGCCGCTGCGCCGGCCACGTGACACGCACGCGTCGTGTCACGATAGCGAAAGGAACGGATAAGGCGACCGCACACACGCGCGAGATGGATCGCAAGAATGTATATAACGCGTGCAACGGACACCTGCGCGTTGTTCCACATTTTAAACAGGAACAGAAACGAAGAGAGAAAGGAGGAGGAGGAGGAAAGAATTTTCCCTCTGGGCAAATACTGTTTTCCTATCGCGCGCTCGAAATTAGAAAATAATACGATGTTAATTGCCTTTATCGTTGCGTAAAACGCGCGCCGGTTATCGGTCGTCTCTACGAAAAACATTCGTATTTTTCTCGCCGGAGAATGGACTCCGAAATCTTTTAGATAGTTCCGTTCGTTGAAATTGCGTGAGAGAGAGAAAAAGATTGAGTACGCGCGCGCAACAAGTCGAAGTATTACTCCCGTGCGTTTGAAGTCAAACCGCCTCTCGACGCGGTCTTTGAGCTCGCGCGAGCTTATGTAAGGTCTTAAAATTGAAGTCAGGTTTTCGGGACACCCTGTACATGACTTATTCATAGCGCAGTGCCCGCAAGAATTCGCTGATAGCATTGCGAGAGGTGATCGCGGCTCCGATACCTCAAGGCGACGACGAAATTCACGCACGTAAAAAAAAACACCGACGTCCGACCGTCGTCGTGCGAAATCCCGCGCGCGAGATGTAAAAAGAACGAGATTTTTTTTTTTTTTTATTTTATTTCATTGCGCGCGCGAGATAAAAAGTATACCCGACGAATAAATAAAAAAAAAAAAGACAAGACACTGTGTGTGTGTGTTCGTTACGTCACACGACTTGAAAGTTTATTTGTACGACACTGCGCGCGCAAAATGGCGCGTGAAAACTTCTCGCATGTGTCTCGCGCGACGAGTTTAAAAAAAAAAAAAAAAAAAAAGAAAAAAAAATCTGTCGCGCGGGATGGCTACGCGCAAAATGATTTCACGGGGTTTTGTTCGTGCGGGACTTCGCTGGCGACGCGACAAAGTAAAGTAACCTCTACGCCGAAGCTGCGCGAAACGCGGCTGCCGAAAGCGGCGGAGTACAAAGGAAAAAAAACATCCGTCACTCACCTTCGTCCAGCAGACGCTCCACATGTATGAAGACATTTGAGAAGGCGGCTAGCTGTTTCCGATCCTTCAACAACTGTGCCAGATAGTCCGCTATACTTTGCGTCGTCGTGTTAGTATTATCATTCATTGCAAATTGTACTCGGTTGCTTCAATGGTGGCCGAATGTTGGCGCGTGTTGGGCGCGCGCGGAAACACGTTTGAGGAGGAGGATACACAAGAAAAGAGCGCACACCGACGAACGGACGGGTGCACGGGCGACAACGACGACGCGGTCGTGGCTGGACGGGACGGACGGAACGGACGCGACCGGGACGACGTTCGTTCTCTCCTCCGAGTCTCGGGAGAACACACAAGGCACGGATGGCGGAGACGTACTAACGAAGGAGAGTTAAAAGAAAAGAGCAGGAACGCGGCGAACGGGACGGTGACACGGCGCGAGTGGGGAGGGAATATATATATATATACATATATATATATATATATATATATGTGCGAGAGAGGGAGAAAGAGAGACAGAGGAGGAAGAGGAGGAGGAGGAGGAGGAGAATTTTAGAGTGGAGGGAATGTGCGAGCGGGAAGAGTGAGCGAGAGAACGAACTCGAGGGGAGAGGAAAGGAGGGAGAGAAAACGGAGAGCGAACGCGCGCGAGCGACACTCCTCTGAGAGAGTTGTAAAGTCGCCTCGCCTAGCTTCGCCGTATATTTGTTTTCTTTTTCTCTTCCAGCGATGTGCAGCAGCAGCGCGCTCGTTCCGCTTTTTCTTCGAGTTGAGTACCCCCGCGAGCTTCCCACAAATTCGGAACTGTGATCCTCTACCGGAGAACTGACGACCGTCCCGCCTCTCTCTCTCTCTCGCAGAGATTTCTCTCTTCCTCCCGTCTTATCCCGTTAACTCTGGCTTCTGCGAGATTTATCTCTCGGTTCACCGCGTGATAGAACCGATCCGCGTGTCCCTCCTCACGCACTCGTTCGCGGTTTACACACGTAGATCTGACCGTATACTGCGTTCTTCGCAGAACTTCGCAACAGAACGATCGCACGCGTGCGCGAGCGAGCGAGCGAACAAGCGAGCGTGTGTGCGTGTGTGGTAAATCGCGAATATAAAAACGCGCCGCGGAGAACGCGATTGAAGGAAAGGAAGCAAGAGGGCGCGAAGGAGAAAGGGATATTAGAAAAAACAACCGTGGGAGAAGGAGAGAGAGACGGAAGATAAATAGAAATCCTCGAAGAGTCGGAGAAAGAAAATTATTACCGGAGAGTAAATTATTACAGGTACAGAAACTGGCAGAGAAGGAGAGAGTTATATGGCGTGGGATGCGTGTGTATATGTATCTCTCTCTCTTTCTATCTATCTATCTATCTCTCTCTCTCTCGCTCACGCTTGCGTTCCGCAGAGATTTAAAATCAAAAATACACGCGAGAGAGATTTTCAAAACTCGAACGATACACGCGCTATCGCGAGAATTCTCGGACGAGACTGATTGCACCGCCCCGTGTGTGCGCGCCGAGTTTATCCGAGTCGCGCCGACAAGCGAATTCGCGTTCGCGCGTGCGCGTTTCGCGCGCCGCGTTTTCCTCCGCCCCCGCGTCTCTGTCACATCAGCGTCTACCGCCCACTACCATATACGGCCTCTGTGCATACGCGCTCTCTAGCACGCGCAGCAAGAGAGAGAGAGATTACGCGCGTTGTGCGCGCGGACTTGCGTATAAGTTCAGGCTCGCAACGCAACGTTCTCCGTTTTTCTCAATGTCTACCCCATCAGTAGATTCAGCCACGGTTTTGCATCATTTCGGAGGGATTTCTCCAATTACAATTTGTTTGTTTGTTTGTTTTTTTTTTTTAATCTAGATTCACACTCTCGGTCTCGCGTGCGCGCGCGCGTGCATAACGCATGCGCGCTCGGATAAACAGCGTGTTAAAATAAGTAAAACTTTGCGTAACTTCGGGCGAATAAACAAGAGTAAGATTAATAAGGAAACAGCACATATAGATATGTGCCGTCTTGCTGGTCAGCGCGAGAAAATGCATTTCTTCTTCGAGAAGTGTGTTATGGAACTTAAAAAAAAAAAAAGAAAAAATAATAGACCGTGGAAAATAATGAATAGAGCGTGCTTGTTAAATGCGCAATTCTCTCTCTTTCTCTTTCTCTTTCTCTCTCTCTCTCTCTCTCTCTCTCTCTCACCGCGGCCTCTCCCAACGAGATCGTTGCGTTACATCAACGGCGCGCAACATCGTTATAATCTCTCAAGAGCGGCGGCGTGCCTTAGAATGCATAATTAATAGACGCACACACTACCTACCCGCTTTCGATACGCACCGCTCAAGGCGTGAACGTACAAGGTGATATCTGCGAGCGCGTCGTCGATTCATAGATCCGAGCGATACGCGTTTTTTGTGACGCTTAGTCAGAGATGAGTTTTTTCCGCTTCGGTTTTTTTTTAAAAAAAAAGAATCTTTATTCTTCGCCAGATGATTACGCTTCTGCGTTCTACGCTACGCGAATTTTGTGCGATTACATGTTGCAACGATCGGTTGATTTTACAATATGACGGATTGCGCGAGACAGTTGACAATTTTTAAGCTCCAGTTTTGAATTTCCAGTACAAGTGATTCTCGACGTTTAATGATGTCGGACGGTGCGACGTGTCGGTTCGTCCTTACAGACCCCGTTAATAAAAGGGGTTACACAGCTCGTCTGTGGGAGCGCGAAAACGAAGCGAAGCGCATAGCTCGCGACGCGAGGATCGAAGATTTGCGCTCGGCGCACGTTACAATTTACCCCATTTGTGTTGTATTAAGAAAAAAATTCTTAACAGATATATCGCGAAAGTAGTAATTCGTAGATTGTTTTTAAATTGTTTCTTCTTACACAGATAAAAACCGCCTTCTTACGAGCTTCATTCTCGCGAGCTATTCTCGTGAAATTCCAATTACCAGTCCAGCGTTCCAAAAGCAAAATTTCGAGATCGAATGGGTTAGATAGCCGCGCGCGCGGGCTATGCGTTTCTATTCTTAGACACGGCCGATCATAATCGCCCCTTCTCGCTCGATGCAAAAAAAAAAAAAACAAAAAGAAAAGAAAAGAAAAATTGTCGACAAAGCTTGACGAGAACGATCCGAATTTTACGAGGCGTAATTGTCGCAATCGATCGAGAACGAAGTTGTTTCTCCAGGACGCGCGACGCGACCGACCTCCTCCCTGTGTGTGTAGTGTGTGTTTCTCCCACGGATTACCTTCTATGCCATACGAGTCGCCTACACGCGCACACATTGGCAAATGTAAAGTAACGTTGACGTCACGTGTCCATACATGGCCTCATCGTGAAAACCGTGTGGGTGTCCGTGTGTGTTATAAATTAATTCGTCTTTAGCTTTTTCTTCTCCAGCGCGGGCACACACCGCCTTTCGGCAAGCGCGTTCTTTTCATTCTCCCCGTTTGCTTTGGCCGTTATCGCGCGCGCACACACAGATAAATTGTCTCGTCTCCTCTCTCGCGTTTAAGACGACGATTCGAATTCTTGGAGAAAGAATCTCTCGAACACAATGCGTGTTATAACGTTTCCGATTCCGATCTAACAATGCCCGACGAAACAAAAAAATTTCGAGATAATTGGGAAACGCGGAAGTTAAATGAGACAGAGAGAGATTTCAGAGAATCACTAAAGAATAGAATACATACATATCTCTCCGATTCGATAAAAATTATCCATTAATATTAACCGATGACGTATTCTATTCCTGACGATGTGTCGCGTCACAACCACGCGCACACACACACATAAACCGGTACGTTATTTGTCATCTATACGCGCGTATAAGGCGCGCGCGAATGACAAGTATCTGTTAAATTACCGGTCATCTCCTGCCCACGTCTGCCTACCTAGCGAAAGGTCTCTCTTCGGTGTCTCTTTCGTCCGTTTCGTCGAACTCGGGTTTGTTGTTTGTCCTCCGCCAATATATCCGCAATCCGCCCTTTTGCGTCGAGCCTTTTCCAAGCGGTCGCGCGAACAACCTTGAGTTTGCGCAGTTGAACATAATCAGAATCAAAATGCGTTCATATAATTTTTCATATAATTTTCAAACGCAAACGTTTTGTGTTTGCGCAATCAAAATTTTAAGAACACTCTCTTATTAGAATTAACGTCAGAAAAGCCGGAAAACGGCTTTCAATTTCACGCTTGTTTTGCGAAAATGTGTGTTCTCGATGATCGCGCAACACCGCGACTTTTAATGCTAATATAAATAACGTGCGGCCACCTTACCTGTCGTTTTTGAACTTTGTATTCGCGATTGTGTTATGTAAAGTAATTTTTTCTTATTTGCGCGCGAGTAGGAAGAAGACAAGCGTCTTTTTGTTGAAACAAAAAACGCGCATTAAGACAGACGGATAGATTGACAGACGATGAGGCAAATGTACGCAACTAGTGCTGCCCTCTGTGTAAACGCTTCCGCACTCACTTCGGACCAATGACTCACTCGGTTGATACAGACTTACCCGCAACGTTACGACTGGCGAGTGGACAAAAATGGCTGCGCCAATAAAAATCCGAGCCTCGATCCGAGCTTAAACGGAAGATGGGACTGTGAATCCGTCCGATGTTTCTAGGAATTTTTTACTGCGCTCGCAATCGGGACATTTATATTCTCATTGGATGGACGACTGCATGGCGCATGAAAAGTAAGAATTCGTTCGCTTTCTTTCACGAATGTTAATTGCTTATTGTTTATTTAAATTTAAATAAAACGTAATTTCGAACAAAGCACACGCATGCCCAGGCGCATGCGTGCCGCTCAGCTGATTCACGCAGTGAATTTTGACAGTCTTTGAACGAGTTGTCGAAATTCGACAACATTTGAAATACACTTACTACCGTGTCTTTCAACGAAGCGAATATTAATAAAAAAAAGTCTCGGCACGCGTGCAACAATTTTAATTGGAAAAAAAATGTATGTACGTAAAAATACACAAACACACGCAGCTGCTTCGGGCTTCGCAAACATTCTTCCGCAAATCTTCAAAGCTGCGGTGAAGTCGAATTTCTCACGTAGGTAGGTTTTTAACACCACGATTGATACATTGATTTTTTTAAATAATTTTCTGTACGCAAAAAAATTGTGACGTAACTGTATTTTACTTGCATTGAATTCCACAACGTTCGAGTTGCGAGTCTTCTTTCGGAGCGCGAGCGAGCTTCGCGCACGGCTCGTGTTTCCATAACGACGAGTGTTTCTCCTGACTGACCAACATGGCTGAAACTGAGGGTAAGTGAGTACAAATGTGTGTGCATTGATGAGAGACATAATTTGTGACAACGAGCACAAAAATCGAGACCGCGTATGATAAATAACATACGATCCGATATTTCCCTCCTCGCCACTTGATTTTCTCGTCGTTGCTATCTTTGTCGTGTCATCGGTCCGCTTCCGGTTCTCCAGTGTGTGTGCTCTTTCCGCGTCTCTCCTCCGTCTGTTCTAATTATAGGGTAAAAGCGACACGGGGGAGAGAGTATGAGAAAATATATATCGTTAGGAAATAACGTTTCGCTGGAAAAGCTATCGACCTCAATTTTGTAATGGAAGAAAAAAGGACGGAAGATCTTGCAAGTGCGTGCGTGAAGAAAGATGCGTTTACCGATGGTGCACCTGTGTTTGCTCTTGCGGCTTCAATGATTTATCCATAGTTTATTCGTAGATAGCTTTTTCATTTAATTGCTGTTCTTATTAACGTTTGCTTTTTTGACAGTTGCTTGGGGATGAAAAAAGAGATTGCGACCTGATAAAATAATTGTCCCTGTTTCTAATTTGTCAAGCAGTTTCGCTTGATCGTTACTTATCAAAATGAAGTAAGCAGTGTTGTTGTGGTAACCGGGATGATTGTGGAAACAAGAAAAAGTACAAAGAAGATTACACGCAGAAGAGTTATTGTAAAAGAGTTTCTGCAAAAAAAACAGAATCCCAAACTTTTGTGCTAAAATGTGTCTATTTAAACGAACAATTCAAAAAGAGAATAAATCCCGCATTGTTAACATCTTAAGTGCAACGCAAAAATGCGATGTGCATTTCTTTTGATATTTGCTGACGTGAAAAAAACTCTCGCGCAGATAGACGATAGTCCATCCACTTATCATGTTACAGAGTGAGATGTGTTGGAAGATGCACTAAAGAAAGAAGCGGGAAAAAGAGACGCGAGAGACTACTTTATATATATATATATATGTATATATATAAATAAAAGCGCGACGGCGCGACGAAAATAAATCGCGTCGCACGCGGCACTCGCAATTTACAACGGTTGTAACGGCGCTGGCTGTTACAGCTTGGCTCGGCTGGAGCCAATGACAGTTTCTTCTCTTTCTCTCTTTCAGTCGATCGGCTCATCAGGAGACACAGTTTGAGATACTTTACACCATGTTGCAGCGGTAGAAGGGATGCGCACAACACAGCAGCAGACATTTCACTCGCTGCTTCGTGCGCATCCCCTCCATTGTTGCAACATGGTGCTGTAAGCGTCTCAAAACTGTTGTGAATCACTGATCGCGATGTGTCCAACTCGCAACGATGAAAATCTGTTGCATACCGAAACCAGGAAACGAAGATTCCTGCGCTACTTATTACAGGGCTTGTTCCCATATTTTCGACTCTCGCAACAACAATCAGGATCTATACCACGTAACAGAGAATCGTCTCGCGATCAACCAGAAGAACGACAAGAACCGCAAGAGGAAGAGTACATTCACAGACGGAAAATACGACGTACTGACGGGAGATAAAAGCCCCAACAAGGCCGAAAGCACAAGTCAAAGGGATGCGATCAAAGAGTATTCCGAGGAAGGTGAGCTTCTCGAAACTTGTCTCTTCTCTTCGATCGCTTGTTCGCGATCAACAACACTTTGAATTGTTCGATTAAGAACGAACATGTGCTCGCTAAAGGGTTCAAAGGCGGGTTCAAAGAAAGTACGAATTTAATTCGCGTTCATCTCCGTTTCTCATCGAAGTGTATTCCGATTAAGAATGCGAGATGTTCATCGTCCCCCCGGGGCCGCGTGATTTGAAAAAGAAAAATGCCTGCCGAAAAACGCAAGATACACATCGACGAGACATTGAGGCAATATATAACTCGTTAGATTACGTGTGTATACACACACATTAAATGTTTGCTTAGACAGCAATCTGTTGTAAGAACGCGCGGTCGCGCGTGTTTACGTACAATCTGGAACTGATCCCGCAAATTCAATTTCCGAAACCAAGACCGTGTCGCGTATCGTATTCTCTCTGTGATAACTTTATTGTCGCTGCGTAACCAAGAGATGTTCCTTTATTCACAATTTGCTTCCGTAATGAAATTGAAATTGTTGAGCATTTTATTTTATTGCAAAATAACAAGAAAAAATTTTCTCACGCGGTTTTAATTTTCTTTTAAATCGCAATCGGAGCAATTTATCAGCAAATGAGACACGGGTGAGAAGTCGAAGCGCAGTAAATAAGTATGAGAAAAAACACTGCTCTTTGCACTTACCTCATCTCGCTTTTTTTGCGAACATACACAGAATGCGATTGAATTGCGCTAAAATTTAAACATTTTTATTAACACGGTCCTTGTAAGTCTTGGAAGAAACCAAATCACACATAAAAATTAATGTCCAATAAGGAGTCGTAAAATATAGTGTTCTTGCAATTATTTCTTCTGCATTTTTTCCTTTCTTTCTCGCGCATGTCTCGAGTAGGTATAGGAGTCGCGATAACGCGCTCTTTGTCGCGCATCAATTTGCAACGGCTAAGCAGTTGCATAAGAACTCCGGTGGACGTGTTAGATGACGCGAAAAGAGCACCTGGAAAGAGAGAGAGAGAGAGAGAAAGAGAAAAAACTTATTGTCAGAGACGGTATCTAATGGCGCCCACAACTAAGCGGAGAAACGTAAACAGAACCGTTGCTTGTCATGTGATTAATAATGAGATTGCGTCGTAAAGCGATTACCGAGAAATAGATTCTTACGCAGCGCTGTGCTTCTCGTCGCGTATTTTTTTTTTATCCTTTTCCTCGAAGAGTATCGCGGAACAGAACAATTTGATGCAACTGGAAAAATAAAAATTGTAAAATAAAATTTAAAACATCAGTGTATTAAATATATATAAAATTACATATGTGTATAAATAAAAAAAAACAAACTGCAATAAACTTGCAAGCGATTGAAGCGAGACAGACGCGGCGACCTACATACATTCTCGCGCACTTAGCGCAGCTAAACTTGGCTGTATTTTTTTTCCTCGTCGATTGGCAAAGTCGAGATGACAATGTAAAATATCGAGCCTCAATCGCGAGGTTTCTGAAACGGAGAGCGAAAAAATCGAGGCGCGACGGAAAAGAAAAAAAACTTTAACTTTAAAAAACGTAAAAAAAGAACCGATAAGAAATCCGAAGAAAACAAAACGAGATTCCCTTCGTCGATGAAGCGCTTACGTATGTATTCGCGCGTTCGATGAGATCGTTTCAAGGCACTTCGAGCGTGGCGTCTAAAAAAGGAAGCTTGTCTCCGTCCGTAGGTGAGAGAGTCGAGTCTCGCGGGGGCGATTCCTCGGCGTCTCTTCGGCGTCCTCGTCGCCGAAGCAGGTGTTCGCGCGATACGCGCATCGAGAGATCGATCGCTCAATCTTCCTGCGCAAGAGACTTTTTTTGTCGGATAAAATTCGATTCGTGCGGTGCGATCAGATTTGTTTTTAAGTTCAAAATTGCGTGAAATCGACACGAGAGTGATTTAGTGCGGAAAGTGTTCGGCGTGAAAAAGCGAAGCGAGAGACTTCATTTGAATCGTCTCTCTTAAGTAACAATTCGCGTCGGAAGGAAATGTGAAGTACACATGTAAAATAAATTTCCGTTTCCGGAATAAAAATCATTGCCGTCGACTCGTTTTATAAGCGCGTGATTTGTTTATTAAATTGCCGTTAAAAGTGAACAGCTCGCTGTGCACGACCGAACGTTATCTCACCGCGACGTCTATAGCTCGCAATAACTGGGGCAACTCTTTGGATGCGATCTCGCAAGAAGAGAACAGCGCGGTTTATCGTTGCGCAATTCCTGCGTCGATCGAAGAAAGTACAATTTGCAATTTAGATTCCTGCTTTCAATCGCAGTGTGTGTGTTGCGCCGTTGCGTAAAAAAAAATTGCCGAAGTTTCGCGGGACCGTTTCGAGGAAAAAAAACGCGCACACTAAAATTTCACGTAAAGGAAAATATTGATCGCGTGCAGAGAAAAATCTGTAAAAAATAAATTTTTGAAAGATCGGGTGTTGATCAAATTGGATCAAAGCAGATCGAGTTCAGATTGGACTGGTCAGCTCGACGAAGTTTCAACCGATCGAGTGCGACTATGACGAGCGCACGTACGACGGAATCTCGCGCGTGTCCGACGCCTGCGTGCGGTGTTGCACACCGTGACGTGTTGGGCTTGTCGTCTGTATTTGGCGATCTCTCGACGTGTTGTCTCGGCGAAAATATCGATTATTCGCGGATTTGCGGCCTTTGTCGGTGTGAATAGCGCGCTACGTGAGTCAGAGAGATATCGGATCTGCATTTGGTGTCGGGGCGCAAGGTTGTCGTCGCGGATTTGCATGTTTTTTTACGAGCGCAACTTTCGAAGATATCGCGACGAGAAAAACAGAGATTAAAAAAAAAAAAAAAAAATCTATGAATATTTGGAAAGAAGATGCGGCCCGTGTCTCATCACGTGATAGTTTGTCATTAATGTTATTGAGAACGAACGTGTACGTTGTATCGGTGGAACGTCGAGGATCTGTTTTATTTTTTTTAATTTTATTTCGAGCGTAAATTGCGCCAATAACTCATTAAACATTGGACTCCGTGTAAATGGACGCAGATGCGCCGCCGATACTGCTGCCGTGCGCGATCTGCGCGCGGACTTTCATGCCGCAGTCGTTGGAGAAGCACGCGAGGATATGCGAACGGGCCGCCGCCAAGAAACGCAAGCCGTTCGACTCGGCCAAGCAGAGAATTCAGGGCACGGAACTGGCCGAATTTCTGCCTAAGCAGGAGACGCGTCGTCACCAGGACGAAAGGATCGCGTCCAGATCCTCCTGGAAGAAGAACCATGACGAATTCCTCAGAACGATTCGCGAAGCTCGCGGCGAACTTGTGAGTCTTTCAGAAACGCTCTTCTCTATTACGTGAAATACAAACTCGTTCAAATTATTCTTCTCGCGCGCGTGTGTGTTTGCAATTAAATTCTTTATTTTTTACTTCGTAATTAAAGTTTTTGTTTTTTTCTTGCTTTTTCTCCAGCTGGATTCACATAGACGCTGCAGCAGTTCCCTGATCACTTCGGGCGCGCCAACACGCGCCAACGAGAAAGGCATGTGTCCCACGTGCAATCGCCACTTCGGCATCAAGGCCTACGATCGCCACGTGGCCTGGTGCAAGGACAGAATACCGAGGGTTTCGTTGAGCCCGGCCACTAATCGGGCGAAGGAGCGACTGGAGGCGCGCATGAGGTACAGAGCGCCAGCCTTGAAGAACCGGCGAGCGATCAATCGGGAAAAGTACAGCCCGGGTTCGAATATGACCGCCAAGATCTCGGTGTCGTCGCCGGCGCTCGTCAAATCGAAGGACACCGCTCTGACGACCAATTGCAATCGAGAGAAACAAAAACTAGCCGTCGTGTGAGTTTTCGAAAACTTTGCAACTCTTTGACAATTTTGTCTTTCGTCTTTGATGTATCTTTGAGATATGAATTTGTTATTTCTTCTACAGACGACATCCTGAACAACTCAAGGAATCACCTACCTCATCCGGACCGATGAAATCACGTCTCGCCGACCGCGATGTAAACAGGTAAGGAGTCACAGTTAACATTGGAGTATCTGTATTTTTCAAAAGACGCAAAAGCAGAACACTGTGGGTTGTACGAGTTGAGATAAGCGTAGAGAAAAAAAAAGGCTATAAATGTAGGCTGTATTCTTAGAAGATAAATCTGTACTTAGTATGTGTGTGCGTGTGTGTGTATGTGTGTGCTAATCATGAGGAGAAGGGATCAGGACAAGGTTATGCTACTCGATGCATAAGAACGCGCGAAGAAAATGATCAATTGAAAAAACAGAGGAAAACATTCCAAGTTTTTTTTCACAACAACACTATTCTGAATAGCATAATTTTTTTTTCTAATATTTAAGTCCGACCACCTTCTCCTGATGACTATTAGACGCACGTCCTTGAGCCAGCTTCCTTCTCCTCCAGGCGAGCGGAGGATCGCAACTCCTTGCTGATGTCTTGTCAATCCTTCTACTCTTCCTCCTGTCGTTCCCATCACTTTCCCGTACCGTCTGTGAGACCTAGAATCGTCAACAATCCGATCTCCTTCAATGAGATCGCGTCACCCGACGTCTCGTTCCAAAAGCAATCCGATCAGAACGAAAGAACGTTTCAACGCGCGCAAAGCAACGACGCGAGCAATCCGGAGAGGACACAAAAAAATGTTTCCTTCAGAAATCGAGATTATCCGAAGGTCAACGACACCGCCGTGAACAACAGGACTCTGGGCGTGACTGTGCAGTCCTGCAGGATGCACGCCGATCGTTTAGTAACGTGGAAACAAATCGGTCGTAAAAAGAACGATCTTCAAATGAACAATTCAATAGTCAGCCACAATACCTTTCAGGATTTTCAGCTGCTCGATCTCGAGCTCGCGGTCAAAAACGATAACGAAACGCAGACAGAGTCATTGATCATGGACGACGATTTTGCTCAAATCGACAACGTCGAAGCAAAAAACAACGAGCTCAATAAAACGAACGGTGTTACATGGTTGGGTGATTTTTCGTATCTGAATCAGACGTATTTGATAAAGGATTCGGAAGACATCGAAGAGGTGTCTCGCGGCAACCGGCGATACAGTCCGCGCGTTGAATTTTACTTCAAGGAAAGAGAGAACGAAATTCAGGAATTTGACAAAAAGAAACCGGAACGAAAACGTGCGGGGACAGATGAGGGAATTAGAGTCGCGAGTAACACAGTAGCAGAAGTAAAAATTAACATTGAAGACAAAGAGGAGAACAATCGAGTTGAAATAAGACACAAAGTTGAAGTGTCGAAAGCGAACAACGAAAATGAGCAAGCAACAAGCAGCGATAAGTTTGAAGAACACAAAGTGGAAAAAGTGAAGACAGTTGATGAAGATGTCGATGAAGATGTTAATCAGAAAGCGAATGATGTTGCGGAACACGACGTAAAAAAAGTAGAAATAAATACCGCAGACGAAGAAGATGTGACAAAAATGTGTGCCATAAATTCAGGAACGCTGACGCAACAACATTCAAAAATCGAAAATAGTCTTAACGCACACGTGGATAGCGAATTTCTGCGAGTTAAAGGTAGTAGCAAAGAATACGAGAAAAACTCCGTTTCTGATAATTTCAAGAATAACGAGGATGAGGAAAAAGACTTCGACACTTTTGAAGTCACAGACGATTGTTTGAACGATGAACCGAGATTGATCTTCGACGACTCGATCGTTGAAACGGAATTTACGACGGTCGAAGATTCGCATCAGAAGAAGACCGCAAATAGCAGCTCTGTTTATAATAACGACAACGCGGAAGCGAAGAACACGCGGAACGATTTCGAATCATCGGTCACGTTTAAGAACGATGTCGAAGCGTCGCGTTGTTGCCGCGACGGAATCTCCTTGAAAACTAGCGTAAATTTTCCGAAAAAACGCGCTCCCAAGCGTAACGGGAAGTCCGAACGCCCGACTAACTCGATCGAGATAAAGCACAAAATCAAGGATAATATGGATCGCTTTCGCGGCAGCACCGATTCTCTAGTGTCCTCGGTCGAACTGATGGATCTGGATCTCAGGCGGTCCAAAGCGGACTGCGCTTACGAGATAGAAACCATAGAAATAATCAGGCCGGCCAAACGAGGCAGAGTGCTGGTCAAGGGATTGCCGAACATAAGGAGCGAATCGGCGGAAACGAGGAAAGATTCCGAGGAATCGTATTGGGAGAGAACCTCGAAGATCTCGCGAAGCAAACTGATCGGTCTCAATCCTTCCTGTCACTCCGGACACAAACTTTCCAGGAGAAACATCAGAACCTGTGTCCTTCCGCCAGTCCCAAGTTCGTCTCTGATTAACGGAAGGTAGCGATTGATGAGTATAAAGTAGAAAAATTAGTACAGAAGTAGAAAAAGTTTAGTATTTTTCGTGAGGATAATTTAATTTGGTAGAAAAATATATTAGCCTTGAAACACGGTAGGTTTGGATAGATTTGATGTGTTAACGTATTGTAGGAAAAACGAACTGGCAACACGTCCCGTCTGGTGCAATTACGTGCGCAGACGGCCGGACTTTAATTACGTGCTTAAGGCTAGAACGTAAGTTTCAGATAGAAATCGTCGGATCGATTCGGCACCCGAAGCACAAGTTTTCGAAAACGCACGCTTGCTAAACTAATCGATTTTCAAGTTTCTCATAAAAATAATTACGTACGTCCGGCAAGCAAGAATAGATTGCACGTTGTGTCTCATAACTTGTGTGTGTTTTCACCTGTCACACGCAAATATTTCGACACATTCGTAAAGCAGTAGTTTGTTTTGCAAAGAAACAAGTCGAAAGCACAACACGCACCTCATTGGAGTCGAAGAGTCGCCAATAGCGGCGCAAAAAGTCTTTAAACTACAGGCATCGAACTTTAATTGCAGCGGCACGTGCAAGGATTACAATCCCTTTCTGCTGGCCGAGCAGCAGATGAACGACCTGCTGTCGGACACGAGCGATCAGTCCGCAACGGGAAGTCCGAAATCCCAACCGACTCGCGACATTCTCTATCCTCTCTCTCACTCCTCCGCCTTTGTGAAATATCCTCCCTCCGAGAAAAGAACGTCTCTTATAGCTCCTCCTACCGAATTCGACGACCTCTCGTCGATCATATCGTCGAGCGACTCCACCGAGACCAATTCGATCTCGCGGGAGATCTTCCTGAAGCCCGATCCGTCCAAAAACACGACGGGTCCGAAACCCGTCAGGGAACTGAGTCGACGTATCATCATCGACAAATCAAAGGCGCTGGGTGTGGACGAGCGTCGCAATGTCATTGGCAGCGCTGATCACAGTAAGACTCGTGACAAGGTCACGTCCAAGGTCACGAGATCGCAGATCAACCGGTCCGATTCGACACGAGCCTCGTCCGCGCCCAGAACGAACGCGAGTCCCGACATCAGAGGAATTACGGGCGGAGTCAGAAAGTCGCGAGACGCCAAGACGGCCGATAATCAGAGGTCGTCGGATCGGAGGAACAACAATTACTCGTCTCTGTCCGGCAGCACTTTGAGCCTCGGCTCGATTATTTCCTCCTCGGAGGCGGACGTCAAGCGGTCGACCTCGATGTTCGACGAGCTCATGACGTCCTTCGAGGAGGACACGTTTCCCGATCACCTGAGATCCCTCCTCAATAACGAGTCCTTCGACTTGTCCAGTCCAATGCACGACGGCGACAGGCAGCGTAACGGCAGCGTGATCAGCGACGAGGAACTGTCCTTACCGGAGAGCTACCGGCCGCCGGATCACTGTAAGCTTAGCAATGACTCGGCTTACAGTAGGTTGGTTTTTCAGCATTAATTAAAATTTTTTTTTTTAAGTTTCCACCTCTTTGCATACATGTTCACGCTTGCTTGAAACCAAGTTTCATTTGTGCCTCTAGTTTAAATCGCAAATATTCGCATCACGGACGCAGCACCCACAGCGAAATGGCCGGTCGTCTCGACGAGGACGCGCCGAGGAACGGTGTGTCGCCGATTCAGATAACGACCCAATGCAAGATGTCCAAGTTTTGTCACGAGTGCGGCCAACGGTTTCCCGAAATCGCCAAATTCTGCTGCGAGTGCGGCGTCAGGAGACTCGCGCTGTGACACGCACGATCGACCTTGATATTTGGATTCGCGGCGAAAGAACGAGAGAACGAAGATATTTTTTCTAGGAAAAGGAGACTATTCTGATTTTGTTTTTTTTTTTATTTCCGATTTTGTGAATATACATTTTTCGAGAGCGCGGGAATATTGCTAAAATATTCTGTGAGGTGCTGAATTCAGTAATTTTGAAGGTATTTTGTCGAGATTGGAAAAATCGATCGATCTCTATCGATTGCCTCTTCGTCACGATAGTACACGATACTATCACGATGCGTGAAATATAGCTTTTACAAATCTCAGAGTTTCCGAGTGTCTTTTATAAACTTTGCGACAGCGATTTTACTGCCGAATAATTGTTTTTTTGTTTTTGTTTTGATAAGAGCGGTTTTTTTGTTATACAAATATTAGGATGTCCCGCAATATCAGCGGGCAGAGCGTGATTCTTGGTAAAAAAAAAAGAACAGAAAATGTTTTTATACGAGTCTTTGCGTTTCCGAGGTTTAAACAATCTTCAATAACCTTGTGTGTGATACATCATCAAGTGTATTTCGCGATATTGATATATTAAATAAAAAAGTACAATGACACTTTACAATGAAACTTCGAATCTTTGATTGTTGCTGTTAAATTTGCATTTTAAATCGCTTTAGCATAAATAGACTAGTGCTTTAATAAATTACTTTTACATAATAAGATGTAGCAATGAACTTTGATAGAGATAAGGACATTTAAATACGTTAACTGTTTTTAATTTTTAAACTCTCGATTTTTCGAGAAACAAAGTATCGTGAGAAACAATTTTATTATTATGAAATTGTTTCAGAAGAAGAATCGCGCTCTATTCACTGATATTACACGAAATGCGGGACGTCTGTATACATACAGACAGAATCCGGACGATTGTGCAAAGTCCGTCGGTTTTTCTACAAAAAAAATTCACGCAAGTGCGACTTTTTGATAAGTTTTTTTTTTTTTATATAAGTTGCGAAAAAAAAAAGCAAAATTTCTCTCCCTATCATTGTTGTTGTCACGTGTTGCATACGTAACGAGAGATCGACCATGTATCTTATACACGTATATATATCTTATACATAGATTAAGATTAGGAAGTAGGTGAGAGTTAGCGATTAGGTGAGAGTTTGTCAGCTGCTCGTCAGTAAACGCTCAATTAATAAATGTGTTAACAACGAAAAGAAATTACTAACCAAGTGCAACACAAGTGGAACACGCAATACGTTCGAAGCAAATTCGAATAGAAAAAAAAATAAATAAATAAAGCAAACAAACTTTTCGATTGTAGCTAAATAAATTCGAAAAAAATGTGTACACCATCGCCAAATATACGCACAATCACTCCGCGAAATCAATCTCTTCTTCGTATATTTTTACTAAGATAAGACGACGGTGTGTTCATTACACGCCGAACGTATTCTCTTTCTACGTAGTGTGTTCGAAGGAAAACGTTGAGAATTAATGGGGAGAGTGTAGTATAAATCGAGAGAAACAGAAGAGAAGACTTTCGATCGCGAAACTTGTACCTTAACGAAAAGAAACGAGAGATTCTAAATTAATTCAAACGAGAGATACTCGCTCCATATCCGTTACGCTCTATAAACTTCTATTTATGTAACGACCACATCGCTGTGTATATGTACTATTTAAGAGGATTATTTCCAGTACGATTCTAATGAGAAAGCAACTCGTCAAGTGCCTGCGCGCTATGGTGCGTAATACCAAAGAATAACCATCACGCGAGCAAGGAGCAAATTCGTCAACAAAAACGATCGACGATCTAATTTGAGATAATGTAAAACTAACTGTGCGCAATGCGAGAGAAAAACGAAAAAAAAATTTTATCTCGGACTGTATTTTTGCAAGTGTAATAAATCGACGCTTATACACAAATTTCATTAGACGAGAAATTTCTTCCCATCCTTTTTCATTGTTTTATTTATATCTTTATTGTTTTTTACTTTCACGTATGGATTTTCTCATTTGTTTTACTATTTTGTGAACAAATGAGTGAAAGTCTCGAAGATTTCGATCATTCAACGTACGTGACAGCGTGCGTCCAAACCTGGAAGATATTTGCGAAAATGTTGCACATGTCAGTCAATCGGCTAACACGTGGAATAATCGTAAGATATTTTTACAATACGCGCGACGCTAATTGCAGCTTTGTGATTGAATTTAAATCGAACGTTAATTTCTGTCTCCTAGAAATGCGTCGGACAATCTCGCGCGACGATCAGATATTCGCGATGCTTTCACGTTAACGTCAGCCCGACGGAAAAGGCTACGGTCAAGTGCGGGAACGATAGCGTGAGTAGACATTTTTGTGGAAAATGATAAACTTTGCAAAAGTAATAAATTGTTGTCTATAAAAAATATTTACATAACTGCGTCTTGCTATAATTTTGCAGAACTTGTATCCTCTGATAGATCACTGTTACGACGTGGTTGTCGTGGGAGCGGGTGGCGCGGGATTGAGGACCGCCTTCGGTCTCGGTAGCAAGGGGTACCGCGTGGCGGTGGTGACCAAGCTCTTCCCGACCAGGTCGCACACCGTGGCCGCGCAGGGTGGAATAAACGCCGCCTTCGAGGAGGAAAACGACAACTGGCTCTATCACATGTACGACACCGTCAAGGGATCCGACTGGCTTGGCGATCAGGACGCCATACATTTCCTCGCGAGAGAAGCGCCTCGCGCCGTCTACGAGCTCGAGAATTACGGTGAGCGAAAACGACAAACAGACGGACGAGAGTTATTAAAAATCTCATCGGAAGAGTTCTCTAAATAGAATCGATTAATTTACGACCTTAGGTTGTCCGTTTAGCCGCAAGGATGACGGTAGGATCTATCAGCGTCCTTTCGGCGGCCAGTCGTTGAAATTTGGACAAGGCGGCCCGGCATGTCGGACCTGTGCGGTCGCCGATCGAACCGGTCACGCCATGCTTCACACCCTTTACGGACAGAGTCTTCGTTACGAGGTGCACTACTTCGTCGAGTACTTCGCCCTCGATCTCCTGATGCACGGTCGGTGCTGCAAGGGAATTCTGGCGTGGGAACTCGAGACCGGTCAACTGCACCGATTTAGAGCTCATCACACGGTAAAAAATCTCATCAAATCTACGGTCGTTGATCCTTCCTAGGCGAAAGAGAACAAATAGAATCGACTAATTTATCGCACGAGCAAATTAGTCTCGGTTTGTTACAGGTGATGGCGACGGGCGGTGCCGAGAGATGTTACCTCTCCTGCACCGCGGCGCACGCCTGTACCGGCGACGGCATGGCGATCGCGTGTCGAGCAGGACTGCCGTTGCAGGACATGGAGTTCATTCAGTTTCATCCCACCGGTATGTTGTTTGTTCGCAAGAAAAAAATCCACCGATTCTTTCGGTTTGTCGAATTTATTTCCCACGTCTCTACGCAGGCATTTACGGCAGCGGGATATTAGTGACCGAGGGTTGCAGAGGAGAAGGCGGCAAACTCGTCAATTCCGAGGGGGAGTTTTTCATGGAGAAGTACGCGCCGGTGGCTAAGGATCTGGCGTCCCGCGACGTCGTATCGAGAGCCATGACCATCGAAATATTTGAGGGAAGGTCTGCAACACAAATTCTTGTAGCTGTGTCTTCCTTAAGATAAAAAAAAAAACAAAAAAAAAGTGCGATCTTTTTCGCAGAGGCGTCGGGGAGAAGAAGGATCACATTCATTTGCAACTGAGTCATCTGCCTCACGAAGTGTTACGCAAGAGACTGCCGGGGGTGTCGCATCTCGCCTGGGTGTTCGCCGGCGTGGATGTGAAGACGGATCCGATCCCGGTGATACCGACCGTGCATTACAACATGGGCGGCATACCCACAAACTGGCGTGCCCAAGTGAGCGACGCAACACAATACGCATACATATTTTTTTTTTCTGTCATTGTTTTTAATTATCGTCAATCTGCGGTCCGGTCGGTGACAGGTTTGCGTGTTGTTTTACGATTCAGAAACAAATCAAATATCGTGTACGAACTCTAAACGCGTCTGAAACCGATTGCAAATGCGGTTTGCCGGAGTTGTGTGAATGCGTTTTGACTTAATGACACGTTGTCAGGTTTTGACGCGGGAGAACGAGGAGGACAGAGCGATCGAAGGTCTCTGGTCGGCCGGTGAGACCGCTTGCGCATCCGTTCACGGTGCTAATCGACTGGGCGCTAACAGCCTGTTAGAACTTCTCGTCTTCGGCAAAGCGATCGCCGAGCAGATTGACTGCATCACCAGACCGGGCGAGCGTCACGAGGATCTGCCGCCAGTAATTATTAAAATTGCCACCTCTCGAGATTTAATTTATTAGACGAGAGTTGCGTCGTGTAGGAAAAAAAAAACGCACGCACTTCAACGTCATTCTAAAAAATCATCCTCTTTTTATACGCTTTCGACCGGTATATTTCTTTTGACAATCTCGCGCGTAACGCAAAACGATCGCGACTGAAAACAAAAAAAAAAAAAAAAAAACGATTTAAATATGCAGGACATTAGCGAGCAATCGATTTGGCGTTTCGACGCGACCCGTTACGCGAAAGGTTGCGTTCCCGTGGCCGAGCTGCGCGACGAGATGCAACGCACGATGCAGACGTATTGCTCGATATACAGATCCTGCGACATCCTGCAACGCGGATGCAGGGACATAACTCGACTGTACACCTGCGACCTGCCGGACTTATGCGTAAGCCGCTTAATGTAATTTTGTGCGAGAGAAATGAATTTCTAAAATCTTTTTACTACATTATGGAAAATTAACCAGAAAATATATATTATTATTTTGCAAAACAAAAAGAAAGGACGAACAATTATGACTCGACTCGAAGAGCGTGTGACAAAATGAATGAAAAGAAATTGCGTATTCTCGCACGCATGGATTAAAAAAGTCCCGTGACGTAATCCGTGTCGTTGCGTAAATACCGATGACACACGCGAGACCATCATCCGCGAACCGCGCGTTTTATCTCGTCTTGTTTTTTTCGCGTGTTTGTGTTGTTTTCTTCTCTCTCTCTCTCTCTCTCTACACAGGTCCAGGATCAATCTCTCATTTGGAACACGGAGCTCGTCGAGGCCTTGGAGCTGCAAAACATGATACTCTGTTGCATGCACACGGTGTACGCGGCCGAAAATCGAAAGGAATCGAGAGGCTCGCACGCGAGAGAGGATTACAAGGTATATTATATACACGCGTGGACGACCTTTTAACATTTTCGGAGAAGCGATTTGAGACACGCGCCGGTGTTTTGCGACGCGAGTTTTTAATTTACGGAGATCCCCGCAGAGAGTCGAATATACGCTTGTTTACACGCTTGTTTTCGCATTTTAGGACAGAATCGACGAGTACGACTATTCGAAACCGCTCGAGGGACAAAAGAAACGACCTTTCACGGAACACTGGCGTAAGCACACGCTCACGTGGGCGCAAGAAGACGGATCGGTCAGTTGAAACAACCGGATATAAAAATTAGAATAGAGAAATTGCAATTTGTTCTTATTTGTTTTTTTGTTTTATTTATTTTTTTATCAAACTGATTTGCCGAGAATCGGTACGTGTGTACCGTTCTCCTAATGAGATATTTTATGTGTGTACCGTTCTCTTAATGAGATATTTTATGTGTGTGCGGTTCTTCGCTTGCAGATCTGCATTTCTTATCGGCCTGTTATCGATACGACTCTCGACGAGACCGAAGCCCAGCACGTACCGCCCGCGGTTCGCGCATATTGACCCGGATAATTAAAATCACTGGTCGGTTCGCGCAGTAACGACGCAGATAATTAATTAACCAGCGGCGTCGAACAATTGAATTGTACTAGATGACTAGATGGACGCGATCTTTGACCGTTGCTCGTCCCTACATTGGTGTCTCAATGGTACCTTGCAATCGGAAAAACGTGAAATGTCGACACCGAGTTGCTGCTGCTGCTGCAAAAAAAAGAAGACAAAAAAATGGAAGACGACCACGATTTACGCGAATGTGCTCAAAAATGATTTTACGCGCAATTTTGTTGCACAGTTTATCTGAAATGCAGAACGCAACCGCGACACGCACTCCTTATTTTTTATATGTCGCAGAAACTAAAAAGAACACCAAGCGTTACATCGTCGAGGTTATTTTTCAAGAATATTTTTATTAAACTTGTTGAGTTTTTTTTCCGTTAACGAGCGAGGAGGATAAAAACATTGTGAAAGGTCAGTCGTGAGAATATAAAAAAGAGATATAACTTTGCATACCGTTCGCTCGTATTTGCAGATACTCCCTCGAGGTTAGAGAGACGCAATTTGTTGTGACTTTCGTTTTCTTAACGCGCGGTTGTGTGTCTCGCGCTTTCTGCATTACGTACCTCATCACATTCTCTTATCACTAAAAAAAAATGTCGATCCCACACGTGCCTTCGAATAGAGCTCTCACCTCTGTTTCTTCTCCGAAATCGGAAAAAAAATTCGCTCGTTTCGGGCGCGCGTCTTCAGAGCGCGTTGTTGTTGTGAATCGCGTTGTTGGATTCTTTTCCATGCACCTGGTTGGCAGCACTGCGCTTCCCCGGCTTTTCGGCTACTCAGTCGCCGTCGAGCCGCCAAAGCGTACGGATCGAAGCCGAGCGGATCCGACAGAGTACGCTACCGTGACTGCCTTACTGGGGTTAGTCGCGTGGTGCGTGCGAGCGCTGATACGTTTATCACGCGGGGGGAAGTACCTCGAGAGAAGGAAGCGATTGAACGTAACAACCCGTGAGGGAAGATGAGCGGGATGCTGAAGATGTCGGCGTCGTTGCTGCCGCGGAAACTGCCCGGAGCTGCGACATTGGTGAGGAGACCGGAACCTAGAATTTAGCATCGCTTATTTAGAGCAGCCTGTGAGACTGCGTTTAAGTATAATTTTCGCTCAGCTTTCCAACCCCTCCTCAAAGCAGACAGACGACCCCTTTCTTTCTCGAGATATTACGTCACTGTAAAAATCGCTTTGCTACCGTTGACAGCGGAACGCGCTTGGCATATCGCGAAATCGCACCAGGTGTGTCGTAGAACACACCTGACTTGCTAGAATCTCGCGGTACTCTAGCAGCAATTCCCGTCCTACGCCATCTTACCAAAAAAAAAAAACTACTACTACTACTTAACGGTACACGCTGCTAGACAGACAACCCCGAGGTCACGGTCGCGTGTCACGAGGTTGCCAGCCAGTGACGAAGTTTTTCTGTTTGTTATGTAATTTTTCATCCACCGTGACCACCACGGTGGGGTGGACACGTCCGTACCTCGTCGCCAACGCGACGGATCGAATTACGTAAGGTGCGACGAATAAATCCGCGCGCGCCCGGAAATGCGCCGTCACTCACCGCCGCCGAGAGCACGCGGTGTGCTCCAACATCCCTTTTTTCTACAATTGCGAGGCTGTAATAAGGCGGGTTTCTCGATCGTTCAAAGCTTCCGTTTCTGCGATGATAATTTTCCGCGCGCGCGCGCGCGAGATAAAAGTCTCATTCTAATGAAATATTTTTTGACGCCGGCAAACTCTGTTTCGACGATGCGAAGAGATATCGAGCAATCTCGAATGATAAGAAGATAAACAAGCAACAACATTGCGAAATATTCACAAATTTTGCGACAATAAAAAATGTTCACGTATTATTACACATATATACGTGAATATTTATTAGTTATTTGTTAAATAATGTAAAATGTATGTGTTGTGGTATATTTTTAAGTTCGTTTCGCGTGATAAAGAAATTTGACCGACTTTACTGGTTGTTTGCGGACATTTATATTTGCGACAAAAAAGAACGAGCACTTTTGTGTCGGTGGTTTTTAGATGGCGAATCACCAGTAGCGTCGTAAATTTTTATCAGACTCGACTACTGGCAGCGCGGCGGTACACACATTGCACACAGATGTTGGAATATGTAATTTAGATATCACCTGCTGTTGCCGCTTTAACGATCTCGCTGCTTCTTAAATAACATTGCGATTACGTTTTTTCTATATTGGATCAGAGCGAGATTTTACCAGCCTTTTACTTAATAATTTTATTCTCCGACGTGTGATATCACACTCGGTATATAAATTTTGCTCTCGATCCGGATATAATTCGGTTCTCGCTTTAAAATCCGACATTGCGACCACTTTACAAGTACCGTATTTTGTTTATTTCTTTGTTATTTTGTTAATTAAAATTTTCAGCTACTTCAAAGCTTTCCGAACGCCGAACAGTACTGATAGCGCGTTGTTGCGCAGAAACGCTTTCGACTTACTTGCTAATTTGCGTGACAAGGTCACGGAGAAAAATCATCGATTTCCGCAAACGATGTGTCCTCCAACTATTAGTGCGCTTATCACGAGTCCTGTTCCACGATACAAACATGTAGAACATACCGCGGTGCAACATTGGGGAAATTTGTTTTTGGATTTTTGTTTTTTTATATCGATAAAACGAATGATTTATTTGATTGGATAAAATTCTAACGCGTTTGATTGTGCGATCAAGTAATTTAAAAGTTGTTAGAAAATCGCAGAACACAAAATGGCAGAACTTCTTTTTTTTTTGTTACGAATCACTTGACCGTTTTGAATCAATTTTCAATTTCCGTCGGTAATAGCTTTGCGACGCGCAAATATGCACGTCAAACGAACAATTATATATAGTATACACACACACACATGTGTATATATGCGCATATACGTATGTACATATGCACACGTATACTCATATATCGCGTGACCGATTATAAATAATGATGCGTCCACGTGATATCTTCTCTAACAATTGTTTCTTTTTAAATCGCGTTTTTCCTCAATCGGGATTTATCGTCAGCGATGAAAAATAATATTGCGTTAAAAATCAACAATAAACCACTCGAGCAGCGAGAAAGCCTCCCACAGCGTGAATTTACATCCGGTTTACTTCGGTAACATCTCAGATGAGAAAAAATTTGTATCTTTGACGCGTGAACTGAATGAAAAAAAAAAGTAAACAAACAAATGACTAAAAAAATCGGTCGAATCGACAAATTTTTTTTTTTACGCTCTAACTCCGCTTGTTACAAATTGTCTTATCTCGTGTTCTCATCGTTATTTTGCTCTCGCACGCGGCAGAACAAGTTGGGCCTGTCGATCCTCAGCAATCGCAAACTGCACCACACGCCGGACGATCGAGCTAAGGTTTCCGCCGACGCGATCTCCAAACACTACCCGTTGGTGGATCACACGTACGACGCGGTGGTGGTGGGAGCCGGCGGCGCCGGTTTGCGCGCGGCATACGGTTTGGTGGCCGAGGGCTTCAGGACCGCGGTGATAACCAAGCTGTTCCCGACGAGGTCGCACACCGTGGCCGCCCAGGGCGGCATCAACGCCGCCTTAGGTAACATGGAGGACGACAACTGGCAATGGCACATGTACGACACGGTAAAAGGCTCGGACTGGCTTGGTGACCAGGACGCCATTCACTATATGACCCGCGAGGCGCCCAAGGCGGTCATCGAGTTGGAGAACTGCGGCATGCCGTTCAGCCGAACAACCGACGGTGAGCACAAAAAAGAAAAAATGTAAAACTAACGGCAAAAACCTATTTGTGACTTTATCTCCGAGTTGTATAAAACAAATACAATCAAAAATCAATTACAAGATGTGTGTATAAAATCATCAAAACAGCTTTTTGTGTATTCGACAATTGTCTCGCGTACCGGACCTCGTTTGATTCAATCTAAGAGCTCAGATCGGAAGCGTCGTTCTCGCTGGTCATGCTCGCGCCCGTTCCCGACCTGGAATCCGATTCTGTGTCCGAAATGTCCGTTTTACTACTGGATCTTCTTTTCTAAAATACACACACACACACGTACACAAATAACCGTCGTCGGTATCATGTGGATCACGGCGCATAAAGTATCAATAAAATTAACAAACTGGTCAAGGTCCGACTTCTCAGATGAAACAAACAAACAAACCTCTCTCCTTTTCTTATCTTTCCTCGGATTTTCGAATTTTTTCGAAGAATTGCCATTGGTGGACTTGTTCTGCTGCCCGCCGCTCGTATCGGTTTGTTGTTGCGATTTTTGTTCCTGCGCCGCCAACTTGGCCGCTTTTACGTAAGGCATTTTATCCGCGGCAGACATCTGCCGCCAGATTTGTCCCCCGAGTCGAAACAGATCTTTATTCTTCAATTTGTTGTTCGTCTGTGAAATTCGATCGTTTTGCTTTGTACAACGCTACTCTGTCCTGTTGCGTACGTGCGCGTGTTTTTTTAGTTTTTCCGTTTTACCTGTCTGAAATCTTGCATAAAATTTAGGAAAGCGTTCGCGCTTCTCCGCTGCTTCTTCCGTCGGGACACGCTTCGCGATCTTGACCGCGAGGAACCGCGCAACTTGCGACCGGAGAGGGACTCTGTCAGCTGATATTGATTGTCGCAACATCTTTCCTGTTGCTTCGCGAATCCGTCATTTCTGCCGTCTCCCGTTGCCTCGTTGCCGTTTTCTCTTTTCCTATTGTCTTCCATGATCTGTTTACGGTTTTTTTCATTGATGAGAAGTAGCAAATAAGCAAGAATTTTTGTCTCCCTCTGGTCTCCCGTGAGAATAAGCAACAAATTTTTCAAAACACACTGTGAGAATAACAAATTTCTCCGTTCGGTTGCCACGGGGCTGAAGATTGCCGATTATTGTCGGACTTGAATGTTGCAATATTGTTTGTTATATCGATTTAAGTTGTTCTAATACGAGAGAGTTGTCGAAAATCTCGCGATGAAATGCAGACGTGTTATATCACGTCGATGTTTAAATGGCAAAATAGAACTGAAATTTTCTTTCGATTTTATATCAGGCAAGATTTATCAACGCGCCTTCGGTGGTCAGTCGCTCAAGTTCGGCAAGGGTGGCCAGGCTCACAGATGCTGCTGCGTGGCCGACAGAACCGGCCACTCGTTGCTGCACACGCTCTACGGCCAGTCGCTGAGCTACGACTGCAATTACTTCGTCGAGTATTTCGCCCTCGATCTGCTGATGGAGGGTGGCGAGTGTCGGGGTGTGATCGCTCTCTGTCTCGAGGACGGAACGTTGCATCGTTTCCACGCAAAGAACACGGTGCTCGCCACGGGTGGCTACGGGCGCGCCTACTTTTCTTGCACGTCCGCGCACACCTGCACCGGTGACGGCACCGCCATGGTGTCCAGAGCCAATCTGCCCAATCAGGATTTGGAATTCGTACAATTCCATCCCACAGGTATTGTGAAAAGATAGCGCGGTGAGAGATTAAGTTGTTAAATTTTCAAAAGACTTGACATCACACGTGTTCATCAACGTGTCAGGTATTTACGGCGCTGGATGTCTCATCACGGAAGGAAGCCGCGGCGAAGGCGGTTATCTGATTAACAGCGAGGGCGAGAGGTTCATGGAACGCTACGCGCCGGTAGCCAAGGATCTAGCGTCGCGAGACGTCGTGTCGAGATCAATGACTATGGAGATAAGAGAGGGCAGGTGAGTGACTGACGGTCGGTGACTGTCTCCACGATGTCTCCGGAGAGATATTCACGATAGACGTTAATCTCGTTTCTCTGCTTAGAGGCGTTGGACCCGAGAAAGATCACATCTACTTGCAACTGCATCATCTGCCGGCTGAACAGCTGGCTACTCGTCTACCGGGTATCTCGGAGACTGCGATGATATTTGCCGGCGTCGATGTGACTCGAGAACCGATTCCTGTGATACCTACCGTCCATTACAACATGGGTACGCGAATTTAACAAACTGACTGCAACTTCAGTAACGAGATTACCGACGTTTTTCAACTTGAAATTGCAGGAGGTGTACCGACGAATTATAAGGGTCAAGTGTTGACCAGAGAAAACAATCAGGATAAGGTCGTGCCCGGATTGTACGCGTGCGGCGAAGCAGCCTGTGCGTCCGTGCACGGCGCCAACCGACTGGGTGCTAACTCGTTGTTGGATCTGGTTGTGTTCGGGCGCGCTTGCGCCAAAACCATCGCCGAGGAGAACAAGCCGGGAGAAACAATTGGATCTCTGAAATCTGTAAGTTTTAACTTCTGATCTCGTGATCTGGTGATGATCTCGTTTGTAAAATAAACGACTGCGTGATTGCGCGCGCGTGTGTAGAACGCCGGCGAGGAAACGGTCGCCAATTTGGACTGGGTGAGAAATGCCAACGGCTCGATTTCCACCGCGGAACTGAGACTGACCATGCAAAAAACCATGCAGACGCACGCAGCGGTCTTTAGAGACGCCGAAAGCTTACAAGAAGGTAAAAACAATTATCACGCTCAACACAGTTATTGTGTCATTTTCATTACGCAACATTTATGCAATCCGTTTTTCTAGGCTGTCGGAAGATGACCGACATCTACAAGAAACTCGACGAGATCAAGGTCGCCGACAGGTCTCTGATATGGAATTCCGATCTCGTGGAAACTCTCGAACTGCAAAATCTCATGGTCAACGCGATGCAGACCATCGTGTCCGCCGAAAACAGAAAGGAGAGTCGTGGCGCGCACGCGCGCGAGGATTACAAAATCAGAATTGACGAATACGATTACAGCAAACCGACCGAAAATCAACAACCGAAACCGCTCGATCAACATTGGAGGAAGCATACGCTGTCGACAATTAATCCGAGAACGGGAGAGGTAGTTTTTGCTTTTGTTGTTTCATTTTTTAGATTTTCTTTACCTGCTGAAAAAAATTATACGTGCGACTTAATTTTATTTAAGGTGTCCATCGACTACAGACCGGTGATCGATGTTACGCTCAATCAACAGGAATGCGCAACGGTTCCACCAGCGATTCGTTCTTACTAGACGATTCTATTCTTTAGGCTTTATATAATTATCTACAAACGGACAATTAAAACATCATTCTAGGATACTTATCAGCAATTTTTTTTCTTTTTTTTTTTTGTATCTGAAAAACAGCGGAATTTGCCTACTACTTGTGCGACACACATCTATTAATTTATTTCACATACGTACATGCACATTCACGGAAACGTCATCGTGCGCCAAAGTTTGATTCTTGTCATCGCTTGCGCTGCTTCTGGGAGACGCGAGCGCGATTAGTGACCTTTTATAGAGAATGCCGGTGCTGAGATTAATATTGTCTCTTCTTTGCGGAGGAGCTCGTCAATATCACATTTAGCAAATAGTGTTCAGTTTTAACATAAAATAAAATAGTCAAATCTTATAGAAAATAGTACCAGAGATTGAGAGAGAGTACAAATGTAAAGAAAAGAAATTCTCTCTTTTCAGTAATATAAAACAGTCCATTTGGGTACGCGATCTGTTTTTAATTGCGCTCAAGCCACAGTATGTATTATAATATTACATCGTATTGTATTGCGTGCAGTAACGCGCGCTCGGTAATGGTAGAACATTATCAACTCGGTCTCAACATTGAACTTCTGTATTGTAAGTTTTTAGTGAGAATTTTTGACAAAAGCTTTGCTGGGGAAAAAGTTATATGTTCGAAATTAATATTTTCTTTGTTTTTGCAGGTGTGTGGATTTATTCAACCATTATTTACGTTAGATTATGGAATGGTGTACAGTTTCGAACAAGCAATGCGCGCGATAGTGCGTTTTGATAATGTATTTTGATAATTGCTACTGTTTTTATATTACTGTGGCGTTTGCACGTTAATTTGCAGTTATTTACACATAATTTTTGCAACAGACGAGAAAAACTTGAAAGATTCAAACAACGTGTTGTATTTTGCAGTAAAAATCAATAAATATTATCGTAGATTTTTACTTGGGTGAGGTTAGGTATGTATGAAACGTTGAAATATTGTTTACTGTAAAACATTAAAATATTCTTTATGTGAATGCAATTGTGTCAACGTTTATTCTTTGAAAAAAAAAAAAAAGTGAAATTTGTTTTATTTTCGTTGCGGCTGAATACTTAAATATATCTTGTGCGAGATAACATGAAAACAGTGTTAAATGTGTATTTATATTGTAAACTAAACAAAGTCATAAGTGTAATTTTTGTATTTAATAAAATAATGTTCAAACCTTAACTTAAAATATAACAAGTATAATTTTTTTGTCAAAAACTGTTTTTATGTTGTCTTTTGAGAACTTTGCATTGACATTACGTACTCCGTGAACTGCGAATTTGGATAAAAAAACAAAATTTGTGTTATTTAAGTTTTACAGATGGAAATAAAATAGTATTGTAAAAAATAAAAACAAAAAAAAGATCGTGCGAGCGTGATGTTTGGCATGGTGGAAATGTACATAAAACGCAAGAAATGTGTCAATAAAACATATATATATATAGTTTATTCGACGACATTAAATGTAGTTTATGTTTGTGCTATAAACTGAGAGTTACTGTGCAACTTGTTATTTTATATATAAATTATTCTATATTATATAGTATTTGACTATTTTATATATAATTATTTCAAAGTGATTTTTAAAACTAATGTTAGATTAATTTGACGTAACGTAACTTAACTGTTTCGGGAAAAGAGAAAAGGTTTGAAAATTGCGCGATGTCGCAAATTTCAAAAAAACCGGATATTATCTAGAGACAAGTAAATGTCAAAATAATGAGTCGTGCGATACACAGAATGTTAAAGATCGTCACAAAATACAAAATGCAATTCGTGAGCAAACCAAAGAGAAAGTTGATCGACAAAGAAACGGAGTTACAAAAGAAAAATTTATTCGAATTATTACGGATAGATAATTGCGGGAATTCGGAGACACATCGGCACAAATCAATGGGTGAATTTTCATTTCAAGTATATTTATTAAATCTATAGTTTTGCAGTAATTAATCGTCATAAATAGGAAGATTAAATAAAAATGATATTTTACCGAGAACACACTTTCTCAAGCATTAAGAACTAGAGCTCGCCGCGAGCTAATACTCCAAGAAAAATTGTAACACGTTACAAGTTCAATTTAAGCGAGAAATGCGTTTTTTTTTTTTTTTTTTTTCACATCGGCATGTACTCGCATTCGCAGTTGTATGTGCATACACACATACACGCGCGCTGGTGAGAGAAAAGTTTGATAAAATGTATATATCCGAAAATGTTCGTTTTTCTTTTTTTATCTTCGTATATTGCTAAGAAAGGCTTCGGCACGGAATTCCTTATAAAACAATGCGATAAAAATCCGAAAGTCATTGGCACGACGTAAATGCTTTCCCAAAAAAAAACGGATCTGGACACAAAAAATTCTACAAGCGTCATTACTTTGTACAGCGAGCATGTAAAGAGAACATCGCGCGCAAAATTACAAAAGAATAAATTAGACATTTATTAAATTTTTACTTAATTACATTAATTGTATATTCCTGCGGTTGTGTGTATGCGCGATTCAGATATTCGAAGCAAGAGTAGAATTTCAATCGAAATACGTCAAAACGGCGACATATTGAAATATTACCGCAGGCGAAAATAAGTTTCTACATTTTTTTTCTTTTCAACGGCGCGTCCAAAAGATTTTCCGTTTGGCACTTGCGATCTTTTTTGTGTCAATTCTTAAATTAAACTGCGTGATTAAACGCTCACACGCACAATTTTAGAAGAGCTGAAACTCTTTTCTTGTCGCATCCGCGTGCGGCAAAAGAGTTCGCCGAGAAAGCGGACGATTTGAGAAACTGGAGGAAAAAAAGAAACGAGCAAGACGTATCATTGTCGTGAAACGTTAATGTAACTAGTTCGTTTGAATTGTAACCAGTTTTCTTTAACACTTTCACACACAGACCTAAAGGAGATTCGCTTTGTGACTTCCGTTTTACATACAAAAATGTACAAACGGATATATAATAATGATAATACGTGTAATACATTTTTCTTTTTTGTACACTCCTTCAATATCTCGCCGTACCAACTTCGACACGGATTTCTATCTTTTTTCTGTGTGTGGAAACAGTTTTCTTCGTAACGCACAAATTGCCTTCAATCAATTCTTAGGACTATGACGGTCACACGCGTTTAATATATATATATGTATATATATTAAACATTTAAAGTCCCCGCTAAAAGTCGGAACTTCAACTAATAATTCGTTTACAATCGTATACATTTCGCAAAGCTCGGGATTGATTTATCTCGTCGATAATATACTTGACTCGATTTTTTTTTCAAGCGTGATAGATATACCGAATAATCATAATAATTTATTTTATCTACAAAATCGATACGTCGTGCTCTCGTCGCGAAAAGAGAGATTCGTAAAAGAGACGCTCTTCTCGCCGTCAGATCGCTCGATCGATTAATTGTCGCCTAATAAAAAATTATTCTATTCGTGTAAACGCAACCTCGTGCTTTCTCGCACGACAGAGAGAGGCCGAGATATCTAAGAAACTTGTTTCTTTCTTTTTCATCGTAAAAAAGTTTGAAACAAAAATAGCGTTTCTCGACGTATGTGTTGTAAAAAAAAAAAAAAAAAACAAATGTGAAATGTGAAGATCCCGGACGGACTATCGTTGTTACAAATCTCGTCGAAGTCGCATTTTCGCGACACAGCGTGTCCGCCCGAGAGAAATGCTGTTTGCGATTTGTATGGTAGTAGGAGTCCGTATAAAAAAATGGTAGTCATAGTCAAGAGGAAAGTTCAATTCTGCTGCTACATGAAAAAAAATGTGAAAGAAAATTCACACATATTCGAGACAAGTAACGTATTGTAGTTATGGAGAATGAACACGACGCTACATGCTGGTGCGCGAAGTCGATATCTCGAAAACGATGCGACGGTTCAAAGTCAGTTATTTCACGTGGACAAAATTGGTCGTTTTTCAATTCCCAAGAATGTCGAATCGTTTCGATTCAATCGAGAGCTTGAAGATGCGCTTCGCGCAACGAAAATTTCAAGATTTTTCTCAGGACGCAAGATTTTTTTTTCTTGTTTTACGCACAAAAAAATTCTCAATTTGAATATATTCGTAAATCAACACCAGAGAGGCAAAAATATCCGCTTCACCTTCGATCAATCTTAAATTTTGTCATAAATATGAAAAAGAGTAAATCGCTAAATCAGTTGCAAAAAATCTTATAAAAAAAAATAAATTGAACTTTGTTATTTTTCTAATGGAAATCGTGTATGTTATTCGATCATCTTAAGCTTTGCCCAGAAAATATCGAAGTAGAAATAAATAACAGAAATGACATACACATTTTCTGAAAGTATAGTCGGTTCTCAAAGTGCAAATTAGTTCCAACTAGTTCGCAGCAATGCAAGAAACATTCGCGTATAAGATCTCGGACGTGGATCGTGTAGCTGTGCAGTTTTACTGTGCGGATCCAGCTTCGTATCTTTAGAAAGGAAGCTACGCTATTTTCCGAGACAGAGGGGAGTTCTTCTCTTCTTCTTTTTCTTCGTCAGCCTTCTTCAGGAACGTAATGCGTATCGTCTGCGGTTCGTATTTACATACGTACACACAAAACACTCACTCACTCTTTCTTTCTCTCTCTCTTTCTTTCTCTCTCTCACACACACACACACACACACACACACACATTCTCTCTCTTTCTCTCTCTCTCTCTCTCTTCTCGAATCTCGCGTGATAGTGGTGGGTAACACTAGATGGTTGGTGATGGATTTTTAAGTCTTGTGCATGGTTGACGATGCTCGAACTGAGGCCGTTCACGAGGTGGCCCGTAGCTTCTCTAACGCGGGCACCAACGATTCCTCCATAGAGGGTCCGCAACTCAGCCCGCACTCGCCGATCCATCTTGCTTTGCCGCTCGCATGAGACTGCAAACAGAAGCAAATACGTTAAGTCGATACCGTGCGGAGGACATTTACCCCATCAAGGGCGAAGGGAGAGGTTACAAGCGGGGAACATTTACCATGGTGAGGTCACGCTTCCACGCGGTGCGGCAACGGCCGTCGCAGAGCGGGCACGGTCGTTGTAAGGAATAACCGCCGCACTCACTGCAATCCAGAGAGACGTGCTCTTCGCTCCACGAGACTCCGCATCTGCACAAAAGAAAAACAGAACGATCGTCGTGAATACCTAATGTGTTGTTATCGTCGAAGATACATCCTCTCTTTCGAAGAGAAACGTAGAAGTTTGAAAACAATTTTTTTTCCTAATTTTTAAAAACCAAAAACTTTTCTAAGATTTAAAAAGATCAATTTTTATCTAAATTATAGCAACTGTTTTATATCAGTGAAAAAAACGCAAAGTTTTAAAGAGCTATGCAAATTTAAAATTCCGCTGCAGACGAGATACAACGTCAGTTAATGTATGCGCGCGCGCGCGTTACATAATCTCTGATTAATTCTCACGATCATTTGCTAAACTATGCGCGCTGTCTGCACGTAATCGATTTACATCCGCGGCAGATGTTCCCGGAGGAGAGAAATTAAAATTTGTATATATAAAAACTTACGTAAAGCAGGAGTTGAGCTGAGCACGCAGCTCCTCGATCGTCAGGATTGTGTCCTGGTATTGAGGATGCGAGCCCTGCATGTTGTCGTCCATGCTACCGCATAAACTGTGACAGGACAGCGAGATGTTGCTTCTGCAAAAATTCAAAACGAGTCATTTAAAACACCTAATCGATTGATTGCAATCATTTAATGTTGCCACTTTATGAAATTGTTGAGTGGAGAAAAAACGTCGACCTTCGGGTCTCAATGAAAAACTATGTGTGCGTACCTTTCTAACTTCGCCATCAAAAATACACGCGAGTACAAAGATCACACCTGACGTTACGTTTGTAGAGAAAAAAAAGAGAGAGAGAGACTTTGTGATTTTGTGACGATATGATATTAGCAAAACGCGTTAAACCGCGATTCGCGAGCAAACTGCCTTGAACTTGCTGGTCAAAGAAATAATGCACGCGCACGCGTAGCGGAAGGACAGATTATTAACTTACATGAATGCGCGCATATGGTAATCAGTAAAAAGAAAAACGTTTCTTTCACGTGACGGTAACGTGAACGTTCGCGTAACGAAGCCCGGCCGTTTTGTTTGTTCCGCGTGTGTGTTTCATTTTTACGCGGAATGTCCGATACACGAAAATACAACAAAGAACGGAGGTCTTTTATAAAATGACCGTGAAAAACGAGAAAACTCTTCTACGACACGCTCATTATCTTTTTGTAAATGAAACAATTACATTGTTTTTGCAAAATTTTTGTGAACAAACTCACTCAAGTCGAATATAAATCGGTAAAGTTTAAATCGAGTTTTTTCGCTCAGGCTAAGGTGTTTCTCCCGTAGAAGAGAAAATTCACATTCGAAAACGCAATACGTAACGAAAAAAAAAGTCGAGTTATTACAGTCGGATTCGACGGAAACGGAAAATGTTTAATTATCAGCGCGATTAACGTGTTGCGAGAGCCACAAAATTGCGCGCTCTCTCTCTCTCTCTCTCTCTTTTTCGCTGTATGTTTTTTCCGAGTCGTATTTAAGATTGTACATAACACTTGCGCATTTAACGCTAATTAGTCGCGTCGTAACAGCGCACAATCGCGATGCGATTACATAATGACGATCAAAGCTTCTGGATTTTAATTGCAGAGACAAAAAATGGATATTTTATTTGCAAAAGATTACGCGCAGTTATGCCATTTTTTAAAATAAAAACACGTTCCGTTCTTCTCGCATAAACGCAAAGCGTTCCGATGAATATTTTCTATAAAATTATCAAATATAAATTAATAAAAAAATAGTTGGTTAAAAAATTGCATCAACACGTGACAAATAAATTAAATTAAGAAAATAGACGTTTTGAATACAATTAAACACAGATCAGTAGCACCAATCAAATAAACAGTTATCTCAAATTAAACAAAATTTGTTCGTTTTTTTTTGACGATAGTCAGTCCCTCCTCTTCGATGTAGAAATAGAAAAAGACGAGAACTAAAAGACGAGACTTACAAAGCGGCAGGAAAATGCGCGCTCGCCAATGATAAACGTTTCGTAACAGGAAAATCGATCGAGCGCGACGAACATTTGCAATTATAATGCGTGACTGTCCGTTTCATGATAATGGTATTAAACTAACAGTTTTACTTACCCATGACGGGAGAGGCTCTCGGTGGTGGCTGGCTGCACGGAGGTAACCGACATGTTGCACTGATAAGTAGACGCTGCAACACAAGTGAGAAAAAAATGTCTGATTATTACAAAACCGAACGGTGAGAATCTTTCACAGTAAGATGTTTTTTTTTTTTTTTATGTCACAAGAGAGACAACTCGGTAACTTTCGAAACTTTCCTTAAGATAGTGGGTGAATTTCGAAGGGCGTTGTTGAAAAGATAAACAAGTCGACGAAAATTCTTGAAAGCGATAACGTATTCGATAACGAAGAACGTATCTCGTATTACAGAGATCCGGATTTTAGGAAACAGAAGTTTCAGGAATCCAATTGTATAAGAACGACGATGTTACATCTCTTTAAATATTGCTTGTTAATCTTTCACGGACACACCTCAAAAATGAGAACGAGTCGAACAGACTGGGTCTGTGAGACGATTAAAAAAAAATCGAATATCTCCGCGACAAATCAATATTTTTCCAATTTTGCGTGTTTTTTTAAATCAAACATTTGAATTTCGCGTCGATAAAAAAACAAATAAACGTTAAAAAAAAAAAAAAAAGAATTTTTACTAGAAACGCCGTTACGCAATTTCTGAATGGGAGATGTATATGTCCGTGAAGGGTTAAATACAAAACCGAAAGCAAATTTTCAATGTTCCTAAAATAATTTTGCATAATTAATTGTCGTTTTAAATGACACACGTGCGAGAAAATTGTGTAACATAATATACTAAAGAGATGTTTATATATATATATATATATATATACCTGCTACGAAGATTTATTGCAAGTATTTATATATACACACACATTTAATGATAACAAACGAAGGACACTTCGGAACAGATTTCACCGCGACGTCACCTTGGCACGAAAACCGCAAGATATCATTTTCTGCTTGCGAGAAAGCACATTGACGGATCTGTGTGCGCGCGTCTATGTGCGAGAAATTAATATTATACATATATATATATACGTGACATCTCGGTATCGATCAGCGCGTCGCGTGTCACATTAAAATACAAATTGTATAATCGATATCCGGCCTGGTCGCGGCCCAGTCCGTACTACGCCGTGCAAACCAATCAAAATGCGCATTTGCATTCGTTTATTCTCTTGGGGGGGAACTTCTGTGAAGTTGCATCACAGCGCGCGCGCGTGTATGTGCCTTTCCGAGTTCTCTTTAAATGCGATAGCGTAATCGCCGATAAAAAAAAATAAAAAAAGAAAAAACCAAACACGCCGAGCGACCGTGTAAATTCCCGACATTTCTGATCGTGTGGCAATCGATATATCGGTCGGGTCAGCGCGCAAAGGAGATTAAAATCAAGTAGTCGGGAGTAGGTGCTAATAATCGAAGAGAATAGGTCTCTCGGTCGACCTATACCAAAAAATGTCGATAACGTGCGCGCGCGCGACGCAAAGCAGAAATTAATGTCAAGTCGCAAGTTAAAACTGATAAAGGCTTATCGCGCGCGCTCGTACAGCGTAGCACTAAAAACAAAAAAAAAAAAAAAAAAAAAAAAAAAAAAAGAAAGAAAATATACATATTTTCCGTGGACTCCGAAAAATATAAGTTCCGAGACGGCGTGCATTTTCTTTTTTTCGAAACAAAACCTTGACAACTCGTCGTTATCGAGGAAAAATGACATTTTACAAATGTAAAATTTGCNAAAGAAAGTAAAGAACACATCAATGAACGTTCGAAAAACACTTTTCCGAGACGGCGTGCATTTTCTTTTTTTCGAAACAAAACCTTGACAACTCGTCGTTATCGAGGAAAAATGACATTTTACAAATGTAAAATTTGCATTCCTCGAATTTAGATTTTTAACGGAGTTGTTTCTTGGTTTTAGTGCGCGTGTATCGCGATTTTAATTACAAATAAGCGTACGAACCGTAACTTATTCTTTTATAGGGTTTATTATCGCGCAATGTATTTTATCGATGTATCGAACTTACGACGCAGCCGCGCGCGACGCAACTTTTCAATTTAAATTAACGGCGAGTCCGTATCGCAATTTTTTTTTCACTCAAAACCCGCTTGCAATTTACTCTGAAGAAATCATTCGGTGCCGGAGATTGGGAACCGCTACCCGCAACCTAGAGAGTCTGATGACGATGATTCAGTGGATTAAATTGCGAAGGTAACGTAATTTCTCGCGCTCGCGCGCGCGCGCGAGACGTGGCGCCAAGATTTCCACGGAATATCCGCGCTGACAGGTGTACACACACACACATACATAGAATTCCAACATGCGCTTATATAAGCGTGTTTCTTCTCTGAGAATAAGATCAGTTTGTATTTAAAAAAAAAAAAAAAAAAATTGCAATTCAATATATTTACATATAATTCGAGAGGATAAAAAGACGAACGGAACGAAGAAAGGGAACAAAAAGAAGAAATCGACGCGAGATCGTTGCGAGGCCGCGGAAATCACGTACAAGATGAAACCACGTAGCGTGCGGTTTCGTTACACGTTACACCGCAAAAATAGAATTATATTTCAAGTGTGAAACTGCCGCGCCCTCGCGAACGCACCATAAATAACCCAGATTGTATTATTAATAATGTCACGAGTGGCGTATTTGTTTGTATGTGCAACGTTTGTGTGTGAAACGTGCAGTTATATATATATATATATATTTATACGTATGCATATTACTTGGAACTTAATTCCTTCCATTTGCGCCGCGCTAATTCCGGAGAGTGAATAATCTTATAAACGGATCGGATCTACACTTGTTGCAGTTCAAATGAAGCTGGATGACAAATACCTCGCGAGTTCCCGCGTCACGCGATAGGAAAAATTTCATCCGCGATCTCATCGCGAATGCATTGGTCAACGGATTTTTGAAACACATCGACGAGATGTTAAAAAATATGATCGTCGACATCTTTAACGTCGAAAAAAAAAAAAAAAAATCAGCCGCACGATCGCGTGATTTCTCTCCCTATGTCTCTCGTGAATTTTCCAATAACGGCGAAGCCAAGACTAAATACGGCGACTGACGGTTATAAATCACCGACGTCTCGCGTCTCGTCTGCGCGACGACGTTGACGCGAATTATGAAGCAGATTTTTCTGACGAGAACGAGTCACAAGTGATAAATGACGCCATAACCGAGACGCAGATAAAATGTCGCTTCGCTCTATAGTACGCATATATATAATTTTATATGACGCCTCCGATCCGAGATTTATTTACAACACGCCCCTTTGTCGAGACCACCGCGTACCGGGGCACGCTGGATCACGACATTTGCGATGATACGACGTCATTCCACGTCGGGGGAAAATACACGCGCGCCGGACTTTGATAGAGTTCTTTTTACTCTATCGAAACGCGGCGATACGAAACAAAACATAAACGGTCGCCGCCGCTTTTTCAGAAACCGATCTCGAATAAATAACAAATTCTAAAAAACTTTTTTCTTCTCGAATTATAAAAGTGCGTTGTCTGCGTAACGAGAATTTTTATAATCGCGCGAACTCGCTGTGATCTTTCCTTCAAGCGCGGTTTCACATGACACGGTTCCCTTGAAAAGCGAGTAAATCGCGCGCGCGCAATCCGTTTTCTTCTTCTTCGCGCGAACAATTAAATTCTAAGATTAGCTCTTCGTGATGTTTCGCAGCCCGCCCGTTTTCGGGCCGCCTACTTCGGCGCGAGAAACCGTCAGCGAGTCCATGAACCGTCTTGGCAACCGTCCTGAAGAAACGGTTATCCGGCGTCGGGAGTATTTTCGTTCGGTTTAGACACGCGACGGGAATAGAAGAGGGCAATAAAGGGAATGTGCAAGAAGAACGGTCGCGCGACGGTTGCAAGACCAAACAACTCCGCCGTCTTAAAAAGAACGCGAAAGGAGAGATCGTGTCCGATTTATCTTCTCAAAATTTACACACCGACAAAAACAAACAGTCGAGACGCTATCTTGGGTGTTTTTTTTTGTATTTGTAAAAAAAAAACACAACAGAGCATCGATCTCTTTTAAAATGTCTTCTTTTCGTTGTTGACTCGAGCCAAAATACGAGACGGGTTGTAAACAGTGATTCCCGTCGCGCGCTTTTACCGCAGGAAGGAAATCAGGCCAACAACCTATAAGTGAGAGAGAAAGAGAGAGAGAGAGAGAAATGAGAGAAGCGTGCGCGGGAACTGCATGGCGCGAGGGCGTATATCGGGATATCGATCGACCCCGGGCTATTCTGGATAACACCCACGCACACTCACGGATGCGCGTTAGGTCGTCGCGACTGGGGGTGGAATCAGGTCGGCTGGAAAGGAAGGAAGGAACGAAGCTCTCTCGCTTTCTCTCTCTCTCTCTCTCGCTCTTCCATGCGAAAGTGCGAAGGATGCTCTTGCGGTTCTTGCTCGAGATCGGGCAGAGGAAGGTTCCCGCGTCGTAAAATCGATAAATAAATACGTGGATAAATAACACAATAAATTGCAAATAAATAAAAACAAAAACAAAAAAAAAACCGCGTGAGAAAAAATTACCATCGCGCGTATCGTTCGGTTGCTTTTAACACACTGTGTTATCAAAACTTTGTTGTGTGTGACATTACCCAACGCTATTGTCTTGGATCTCAATGTACGAAACTCTTGACGTTTTAATTTACTTCGCTTTTGTGTGGACTAAACGGGTTTTGCAACAATACCGTTCGGATACAATGACCAAGGCGTGATGCGTAGTTCGCATTCCGACTGGCAAAAAGGAGATGCAAGAATACCGCGCGCCGTCGTATAATTGTGTGTTGCACCATCGTATGAAGTGACCAAATCGGGAAAACGGCCGCCGAAACGCGGCGCTTGAATGTCGCGACAAAAAGGCGTCAACGGGATTGAGAAATTAAAATTCCGTCTCTTTGGAATTTCGCCACGGTGACATAACGGGTTGCCCCTCCCCCGTCTCGACATCGTTTCCTCCACCACCGAGGTGAAAGAGGTGTGTGAGACAGACAACCAGAAGGACTGACCTCGTTGCACTCTCCGGTGTGTTAACTGCGCCATTTGTTTTGAAAGTGGCGTGTCTACTCTCTCAGAGTTTTATT